AATCACAGCACAGATCCTTAGGATTTTGGAGCAAAGCTCTAAACAGCTTTTGGCTTGTTACTGGGCCTTAGTAGAGACTGAACGCTTAACCATGGGACACCAAGTCACCATGCGGCCTGAGCTGCCCGTCATGAACTGGGTGTCATCTGACCCACAGAGTCATAAAGTTGGATGTGCACAGCAGCACTCCATCATTAAATGGAAGTGGTATATTCGAGATCGGGCCCAAGCAAGACCTGAAGACACAAGTAAGTTGCATGAGGAAGTGGCCCAAATGCCCATGGTCTCCACTCCTGTCACATTCCCTTCCATCTCCCAGTCTGCACCTATGGCCTCATGGAGAGTTCCTTACGGTCAGTTGACTGAAGAAGAAAAAACTCGTGCCTGGTTTACAGATGGTTCTACACGATATGGAGGCACCACTTGAAAGTGGACTGCAGCAGCACTGCAGCCCCTTTCTGGGACCTCCTTGAAGGACAGTGGTGAAGGGAAATCCTCTCAATGGGCAGAACTTCGAGCAGTGCAGCTGTTGCTCACTTTGCTTGGAAGGAGAAATGGCCAGATTGTGATTATATACTGATTTTAACAAAGGATGATTTTAACAATCAAGTGGATAGGATGACACGTTCTGTGGAAACCAGTCATCCTTCTTCCCCAGCTACTCCTGTCTTTGCTCAATGGGCTCATGAACAAAGTGGCCATGGTGGCAGGGATGGAGGTTATGCATGGGTCCAGCAGCATGGACTTCCACTCACTAAGGCTGACTTGGCTACAGCCACTGCTGAGTGCCCAATCTGCCAGCAGCAGAGACCAACACTGAGTCCCTGGTATGGCATCATCCCTTGAGGTGATCAGCCAGCAACCTGGTGGCAAGTTGATTACATTGGACCACTTCCATCATGGAAAGTGCATCGTTTTGTCCTTACTGGAATAGACAACTTACTCTCGATACGGATTTGCCCTCCCTGCACGCAATGCTTCTGCCAAAACTACCATCTGTGGACTTACAGGATGCCTTATCCACCATCATGGTATCCCACAGAGCATTGCCTCAGATCAAGGGATTCACTTCACAGCAAATGAAGTGCAGCAGTGGGCCCATGCTCATGGAATTCACTGGTCTTACCATGTTCCCCATCATTCTGAAGCAGCTGGCTTGATAGAATGATGGAATGGCCTTCTGAAGACACAATTACAGTGCCAGCTAGGTGGCAGTACCTTGCGGAGTTGGGGCAGTGTTCTCCAGGAGGCTGTATGTACTCTAAACCAGCATGCAGTATATGGTGCTGTTTCTCCCATAGTCAGGATTCATGGGTCCAGGAATCAAGGGGTGGAAATGGGAGTGGCACCACTCACTATTACCCCTA